TTTTTTTTTTTTTACTTACTTACTAGTTATGGTCTTGGACGCTATCTCGTTGTCCGAAGAAACTTTTATTGCGATATTTGGTCATTTGACAAATCCCCAGTTATCAGTCGCATCAACTGTATGTAAAACTTGGTCAAAATACGCCCTTGCACTTCTTTATCGTCGGATTAGTATAAATACATCTCCCATTTGGTCACATTTTCTTAAATACAATTTATTTCAAAAACATTCTTCGAATTGTAAAGAATTAATATTATTTTCAATTATTATTTCTTCTTACGATAAATTGGTGTTACTTCAACATACAAATGATCTAAATCATATTGCTTTATTAAAATGTCATAATTTGGATGAAGATTTTCTTTCTGAATTAACTAGAAAACATTCAAAAACTTTGGAAAAATTCACTTTGTGGGGTCCTCGTACTTTTGAGTCAGGAGCTACTCCACTTAATGATAAACTCTTGAACCCATGTTTATCAAATTTATTAAATGTAAAACAACTTTCTATATGCGCCGCAAATATATCGGACCAATTCTTATTATTAATCGTTTCAACTTTATCGAATTCGAGTAATAATAATTTTTTATCTTCTTTGATCGAATTAGATTTAACTGAATGTTGGAAAATATCTGCTTTTGGTGTAGCTGAATTATTCTCTCCAAATCATTTATCATCTTTAAGAAAACTTAAATTACAATATCATGAAGAAAATAATATAGATGTGGAATTTTTTGAACTTTTAGGAAATTCTTTTCCAAATCAAAATTATGATTTTTTAGTCACTAAAAATTATTTAAAAAATAAAGTTTTAACAAAATTTGATAAAATTTGTAGTGATTTAGATACTTTAACAAATAAATATTCAAATGTTTTGGTGGAAAAACGTGATAATGTTTGGATGGATCATGAATTATTAGAAAGGTTTTTCTAAAGTTGTGAGTATATTACGAGCGGAGAGCATATAGATAACGAGTATATCGGGGAGAGCATACATCATTATAATATGATCGAGAATAGAATGATAGATTATTATAATATGTGAACATAGATTTATTAGCGATTCAGCATAGATTATTATAATACCTGTTATTGTGATTTGTGAGTATAGTGGGTATTACGATTAATTATAATCGTTACAATCGTTATAATCGTTATAATCGTTATAATCGTTATAATCGTTAAAGGTTAAAAAATATCAAACTTTTTTGTATTTTTTTTTTTTTTTTTTTTTTTT